AATTCCTTACTTAGATTTTCCTTGAGTGGTATGATCTCTCTTTCATCATTACCAGTAATGATAATATCATCCACATACACAACCAACACAGAAATCTTGCGCCCTGAATGTCTGTAGAAGACAGTATGATCTCTATTGCACTGCTTGTATCCCATACCACACAGTGCACTCTTAAATCTGTCAAACCATGCTCGTGGAGATTGTTTGAGACCATACAAGAACTTTTTTAATTTGCACACCTTCCCAATTGTCCCAGGATTAGAGAAACCAGGTGGAATCTCCATGTACACTTCCTCTTGAAGATCACCATGCAAAAAAGCATTCTTGACATCCAATTGATGCAGTGGCCATCCAAAATTCGCCGCACAAGAAACCAAAGTTCTCACTGTACTCATCTTTGCCATAGGTGCAAATGTTTCATCATAGTCAATGCCATATGTCTGACTATACCCCCTTGCAACAAGTCGAGCTTTGTATCTTTCGATCTTACCTTCAGGTCTTTACTTCATAGTGAAGATCCACTTGCAACTAACAGCTTTCTTTCCTGGAGGTAGTTTGACAAGGTCCCAAGTTTTATTCTTTTCAATGGCTCTCAACTCCTCCAACATGGCCTCACACCACTTAGGATCATGCTTTGCTTCTTTCCAATCTTTAGGAATATGTGCAGATTGTAATGAAGCAATAAATGCTCTATATGCATGAGATAATGATTCGTATGAGACATAATTACTTATATCATGCTCAAATCCATACTTAACTGGAGGTTTCCCAGCTGTACTCCTTGCCTCCTTTCTTAGAGCAATAGGCAAATCAATGAAAGAGTCAACTTCTCCCTCTGTCTCTGTGGACTGCTCGACTCCACTATCACCAATGTCAATACCACTAGTTGAAGATTGTTGTTGCTCCAATAGTTGCGAATGCTCAACATGTTGCTCCACCAGTTGCGGTTGTTCAACTTGTTGCTCCACTGGTAGCACTCCAACATTTTTATTTCTTCTAGTATAAACCTGCACAATATTTATATTTCCTTGCTTTGTGTTCATGTTATTAACATTTATGTTTTCCTGTCTCTCATTCACATTAGAATTACTTACACGCAATGGAATCACTCCTGTGATAACTTTTGTTGCCCTTGATTGATGACCTTCATTATCTTGTACTACATCTATGCCATCCATCCCCTCTTGTTCATACACGCTCATGCTTGGTTCACCAAGCTCAAACAAGGAGCTCAAATCAGTCTTCTCCCCATAGTAAGGCTCAGACTCCCGAAGTGTCACATCCATACTAACAAAGAGACGCCGTTCAGTAGGATACCAACACTTGTAGCCTTTTTGACTTGAGGAATAACCCACAAATATGCACTTAATCGCTCGGGGGTCCAACTTTCCCACAGAAGGTCTATGATCCCTAACAAAGCAAGTGTACCCAAATACCTTAGGTGGAACAATAAACTCATTCACTCCTCGTAACATCTCATAAGGAGTTTTCCAACCAAGCAATCTCGAGGGCGTACGATTAATCAAATATACCGTTGTCATCACTGCCTCACTCCATAGAAACTTTGGCACATTCATAGCATACATAAGGGAACGTGCAACCTCCAAGATATGACGATTTTTCCTCTCAGCAACTCCATTTTGTGGAGGTGTATCAGGACATGTAGTTTGGTGTAAAATCCCTTGAGCTGATAGAAAACTACAGAATTCATTGTTCACATACTCCGTTTCATTATCTGTTCTCAACACTTTAACTCGAGCATCATATTGATTTCCAATAAGTGAGCAAAAATCTTGAAAGCACTTAAGTACTTCACTCTTGTGTTTCATGAGATAGATCCAAGTCATACGTGAATAGCAGTAAATAAAGGTGACGAAATACTTCATTCCACTAACTGAGGTGACTGGGCTCGTCCACACATCAGAATGAACTAGCATAAATGGAATTATACTCCTAAGTCCTCTTCTTACATACGTTGCTCTTGTATGCTTCCCATACTCACATGCATCACATACTAGTTTCCTCTTATCTGTCTTAGTCATTATTTCTGGAAATGCTTTGGCCATAGTATCAAATGACAAATGCCCTAGTCGACAATGCTGAAGCATGACCTTAGCTTCATCTTCATTCATGCTTGCTGCTAAAGCAGCACCCAAAAATTTACCATTTTCCTTCCCGTCCAGGTACCATAATCCACCATGCCTAATGCCTAATGCCTAATGCCAATTTCCTTTCTCGTCCTCCTGTCTTGAATGAGACAGTGCTCTTGATCAAAAGAGACTCGACAGTCCATTTGATCAACTAATGCATTTAATGATACTAGATTAACAAGAAAAGAAGGAACATGTAAAACTGATGACAGAGTAATTGATGGGGTACACTTGACAGTACCACTGCCTTTGATAGGTTGACATGTCCCATCAATAGTTTGAATGGTCTCCTTATATGTAGATGGATATGGCGTGTAAGATATAAACTCATCAGGAGCACCAGTAAACATGTTTGGAAGCACCAGAGTCCAATATCCATCCATGTTGAGCTCTCTTCATGCATGAGAGAGCTTCAGCATAAAGATCTTCCAACTTGGTACCCATGGGCATCAACGCCACCTTTTATATCATCTTTATTTTCTCCGTAGTTTCCTTACTTGAGAATGATATCTCACTGATTTTCACAATGAGTAACTTTACCATTTTTTCTAGTTCAGATAATCTCCCAAGAGCTTCCATGATATCTTGATTTTCCCCCATGATTTAATGTTGCCAAGGCCTTCTTCTTCTAGCTTCCACAACTGAAGAACAGATGAGCGGTATAGCAACAGCTCCAATGCCTTCTACACCTGCAGTTCTTCTACTCACGAGACCAAAAAGCAGGGTACTGCAATCCCTCCAATAGCCTCCTCTGCCTTCTGCAGTTCAGCTCCTCACAAATCCACTCCTAGGATGTACACGTACACACCCTAGGCAACAATTCCTTCTGCAACACAACAGCACAGGAAGAGCACAAGCACACGCACCTCAATCTTCTCACAAGTTGCCTCTCCTTCTAGATCCCGTCCAGCTGCGTCACGTGCTGCTGCTTCTTCTAGCTCTTGCTTTGCTTGCTTTCTCCTCCTCCTGCTGTAGCTCCCAATCCACACACAGCACAAGCTTGAGCACACGCCTCTCCACGGGCAGCCTCCGTGAGCTCCCTCTCTGCGTTGCGGCCGCCGTCACCAACCTCCAGCCAGGGATGCAGCGCTCTTCTTCTTGCGCACGCTCGGCTGCGCCCTGCCTCTCGTGCTCCGCTCCTGTAGCCTCGCGGCCTCTCCTAACGTCTCTGCCTAGCAAGGTTGCTGCTGCCCTCAGCTTCACCTGCCGCTCCTGCCTTGCTGCTCTTCCCAACACCTCGCCATCGGCCGCCGGCTGCTGTCACACCGACCAGGTGAAGCAGGGGGTCGCCTCCATCGCCACCACCATCGGCTCCGACACCTTGTTGAAATTTAGGGAAATTTCTGGAACTCTTCACTCATGTCTTTGCTTAGTGTTATATATATATATATATATATATATATATATATATATATATATACGTACTGTTATGTAGCTGGCCGCAGAATAAGTTATTCTGTGGTCACTTTGAGTTACGATAATTACTATACTAATTTACGAGATTATAGATTATGGTAACTCCCTCATAAGTGATTTACTATAGCATTATGGTAAGTATCATCTTGAATTATAGTAACCCATGTATCGTAAATGTGTATTGTCATTATCGTAAATTGGTACAAACATTATCGTAAATCAAGGTGGCCATAGAATAAGTTATTCTGTGGTCAGCTGTAAAATAACTTTACCGTGTGTGTGTATATATATATATATGTGGTACATGGGCTCATGGACCTTACCTTACACTCTTATGCACAGATAAAAGCCCAACAGAACAGGAGCACTGTAGCATCCTCACATGATCCCATGCGTACCTTCAGTCGCAACATCAAGGCGCCCGGCGCGGTCAGGTGGATTCAGTGATCTTCTCTGCAACTTGCTGCTCATCCCCTCTTTCCTCCTTTTTCCCCCCTCCTTCATTCACGGTAGTTGCAGTACTACAGTACTGGACCTGGCCAATGGCCATCAGAATAGGCTTTTTCCAGAATTTTTGCCGGTAAGTACACTAAACTTGAAGCCCAGGTTAAGAGGACATTCTTATACAAAACTACGAAGCGTAATGTTCATTCTGTAACGCTCGTTGTAATTAGGATGGCCTGTAATGCTTCGTGGTAGTATGGTGCACTAGCATTTCATGATTGGACACATCATTTTAGTTTAAGATCGATCACTACCCAAACCACATCTGTTGGAGTAGCTTGGACAAAAGTTTGAGGGAATCTTCCATGCACAGCACAGGTGCACACCTTACCTCACCATTAAATAACTGAAAACAAAGGCCACCATCCATTGCCTCTACCATCCACCGTCTCTTCTCACTTCTCAGAGTGCTGTGGCTCACTCCCAACCTTCCCCAACATAAACTAGTGAAGAGCCTCCCTAACCACCTAGCAAATACTCCCAACCAACTAAAATTGTGAGGAAGAGAGAAGCTACAAAATTCTCATAAACACACAGACACCGTCGCTCTCTCACCCTTCACGTAGCAGCAGCAAGAAAAGCGAGAGAGAGAGAGAGAGAGAGAGATGGCTTAAAACTCCAAAAACCACCATGAAAAAGAGCTTCTCTGGCCCCTGAGTTGCTGGCATTTGGTGTCTCCTTTTTCGTAAGCTGCTGGTATTGTTCTCTTATCCCAAGGCGACGAGGGAATAGGAAGCTAGAAAGTTCATCTGCAGCTTTGCTCATGGCCTAGCTCAGGCCGTAGCTGAACGCCTACGGGTCAGGGAGTCTGAACCTTCCCCGCTCCCTTCACTTCTTTCTCCTTGTTCGTGTTCCCGGCGTTCCCGGCGTCTTGCTAGTCTCTGGGGACTGGAGAGTGAAGGTCTCCTTCGCAGCTGCTCTAGTTCTTCAATGGTGGGCGTAGGTGCTGGCCTGGGCTTGGGCATGGAAGGTACAAGCTGTGGTGCTCTGCTCAGAGAGCTTCAGGTATTCATCTTGCTTTAGAAATCCGTTTTGCCATATTTATCCAACGTCTTTGTTAAATGGCACTGCTAACTTCCTATTCCGAGATTCCCTCGTTTGCTTCGTTAATTCGTCCTCTTTGCGCGTCTTCAGGTTTTGTCTCGTTTACAGCTGGGTGAATTTGCAATTCTGCAGATTTTATCGCCATTTTTTGGTTTCTTCGGTTGTTGTGTTGGGTTTTTTCAGTTGATTTTTTTTGGTTTCTTCAGTTAAATTAAATACAGATAAAATGACACAGGCAGCTTCAGAGCTGTGCGTTCCATGGTTTCTTCAGTTGTTTAGGTTTTTTTCCATAGTTGCAGAAAGGTTAAAAAATTCCGCCCCTTGAGTTATGCACGGCGATTTTCTCTGTATTCTCCTTTACCGGGTGGTGAACTGCTCGGCAGGAATTCTTTGATGCAGTGCAGTAGCTTTATTGTGGATGGCTCTCCTTTTTCACCTTTATGGTTCTTCAGCAGCTGAAAAAGCAATTTTGGTTGGCTCTACTAGTGAAGCAGGCAGTTAAGATGGGACAATAGTAACTCTTTTAACCTATTTGAGTTTTACCGTTTACCTTTACAAATTAATATCCTATTGAACAGACAGTTCATGAGTTAGGCCACACTAACCAAAATGTATTCTGAAACTGCCTGTGTCATTTTATCTGAATTTCATTTAAGTCTACTATTCTAGTGTTTGCTCATAACTCATGCAATGCAATGTTGGTTTTTGCAACCAGCAAATTTGGGCAGAGGTAGGAGAAAGTGAGGGCGAGAAGAACAAGGTGTTACTGGACATCGAAAAAGAATGCTTGGAAGTCTACCGCAGGAAGGTGGACGATGCCAATCGGACTAGGGTCCAGTTGCACCAGTCAGTGGCTGCCAAAGAAGCTGAAGTTGCATCTCTGATGGCAACTCTAGGGGAGCACAAGCTGTACTTGAAGGTATACAACTATACATGGTGATGGACTGATGGTGAGGTGACACACTAATTAGGTTGGTTGCATATGGACATGCATGGTTGCTTCTTGTTGAAGTGGATATAGATTGTAGATATGTGAAGCCCCTCTTGAGGAGACTTGATTTTTAAGAATGCTGAAGGTTCTCTTTAGTCTTTACAAGCTAGGGAAGTATGCCAAGCTTCAGTCAGAGTTAGGGAAGTATGCCAAGCTTCAGTCAGTTCTTTCTACACTGTCGTGAATTAGTATTACCAATGTTATCCAGTAGTTTGGATTGCACTAAATTCTACAGATTTTAGTTTATTGCCATACGAAATACAGCTCTTGATAGTGCGATGTCTGACCGAGAAATAACCTTTCAACGTCTTTGGCAGAAAGACAAGGGCGTTGTACCACTCAAGGAACAACTTGCCGCTGTCGTCCCAGTACTGGAGAACTTGAAATGCAAGAAAGAGGAAAGGGTCAAGCAGCTCTCTGATATTAGATCGCAGATTGAGAAGATCCGCTTTGAGTTAAGTGAACATAATGATCAGGGTGATAATGCGACCAGTGTTGCTGCTGAGGAACATGATTTGTCGACCAGGAAGCTTAATAGTTACCAAGCTCAGCTTCGTGCCCTTCAGAAAGATAAGGTATACATCCTGAGTCTACCTGTCTGCTTTCCTGAAGTTTTTTTTTTCCAAATGTGTTTTCTGAATATTTTGGTATTAGTATTGCTAATTGCATGACTCCTGTTCGATAGAGTTAGTACAGGTGCTTCTTCTGCATACATTACAGAAAAAGAAAGAGCTAATACAGATGCTAAAGAATGTTTGATCATCTATAAATTGTCACATTTCACTCAGAAAAATATATGTCCTGAATGTTTTGGGTACACTTTCCGAAGAGTCTTTTATATGCAGTTCTGATCCCTGTTTGCATTTTTTTTTTTCAGTCTGAGCGTCTTCGCAAGGTTCTGGAGTACATAAATGAAGTGCATTCCTTATGTGGAGTCCTTGGAATCGATTTTGCAAGCACTGTACATGAAGTTCATCCCAGTTTACATCAGAATGGTATTGAGCAGTCAAGAAATATCAGTAATAGCACACTGGAGGGCCTTGCTACTACAATTTATAAGCTAAAAGCAGAACGAAAGTCTAGAATCCACAAGGTCTTCCCTAGGTTCCTTTCTCTTCGTTTTAAGTTATTATCAATTGATCATAACACAATTCCAAATGATCCATTACTGACAGATGAGAGAGACAATGGAATCATTATGTCAGCTTTGGAAACTTATGGACTCTCCTGAAGAAGAAAAGAGACAATTTAGTAAAGTAATGAGCATTCTCATATTACCTGAGGAGGGAATCACATCACCTGGAGTTCTCTCCGAGGACACAATTGAGAAGGTTTTACCTTGTTGCTGTTGTTTGGGTCTTTAAACTTTTTTCACAGCATACTGTAATCATTCAGATTTTCATTTCTCATCCAGATGGAAGCCGAGGTTGAGAGGTTAACAAAACTAAAAACCAGCAGACTAAAGGAAATTGTTATGAAAAGAAGGGCAGAATTAGAAGAGATCTGCCAAAAGGCACACATAGAACCTGATGTCAGCACGGCCCCTGAACAAACTGATGCTTTGATCGATTCTGGTTGTTCTTTTTGCATCCTGCTCTGCTACTATATTCACTTCTTTTTTTTTTACAAACAATGATATTCTTGTGCCTATTCCATCCAGGCCTCATCGACCCTTCTGAGCTTCTGGCGAATATTGAGTCACAAATATTAAAAGCGAAAGAAGAGTCTCTTAGCCGGAAAGATATAATGGACAGGATAAATAAATGGATTGCTGCTTGTGATGAAGAGGCTTGGCTTGAAGAATATAACCAGGTACTGGAAGCATCCCTAGAATGGAATTAGAATGTTTCACATACCATTTATGTACACAAAGTACCTAATTCAGTGTAGCTGGAAACAGTGGAAAGATGGAACTACTTGGCAATGGACTAATCATTATCATTTTCCATGAGAAACCTGTAATCAGCTAAATCATGAAAAATGACACCAAAGGGTTTTTGCAGGACCCAAAGAGGTATAGTGCTGGAAGGGGTGCTCATATAAACCTTAAACGGGCAGAAAAGGCAAGGATTTTGGTTAGAAAAATCCCAAGTAAGTTTCAATATGTGTGCTGTAAAATTATGTATAGATTTCAGTTACTTCAATTCATGACCCAGAAAATTTTCAGGTATGGTGGACAACCTTATAAACCAAACCTTTGCTTGGGAAAACGCAAGAAATAAACCCTTTCTCTATGATGGGGTAAGCATTACAATTGGATGACCAATGTGTGCATGCACAAGTTATTTGATTAATTTGTTGATTTTCATGTGCTTTTGATAGGGGCGCCTAATATCTGTTCTTGAAGAGTACAGACTTAGCCGGCAGCAGAAAGAAGAGGAAAATCGACGATACCGGGTAGAAGTGCTTACCCAATCACACTTGATGATTGAAAATAGTTCTCAAATGATAGGACCTTTTAAATTGACTTTTGCATTCTTGCAGGATCAGAAGAAGCTGGAGAGCATCCTACTTGCAGAGAAAGAAGCGATCTTTGGATCTAAACCAAGCCCAAAGAGGACGAGCACCTTAAGTAGGAAGACAAATGGGTACCGGCCAAATGGAAACACTAATGGAATCAAGACTCCAACTCCTCGTCGATCATCTCTTGGCAGTGCTACTCCTGAGCTTTTGACTACCAGATCATACTCATACTTTGGCGATTTGAGGCGTCTATCGACTTCCCACTTGAACTTCGGTAATGATTCACTGTCAACATTTACATCCATCAGTGGCTCTGAACCGGAATCTCTATTGGATGAACACCATACTGCTGGTACAATATCAGACTTCATATGCATTCATTCTTAATTCTAACAACCTTGGGCAATTTTATCACTGATAAAAATAACTGTTTGTGTTGCTTTTTCCTCTTGCAGGATAATTGAATGGTCTGATTGACGAAGTATTGAGTATTGTAAATGGGCATCATAATACAAAGTTCTTGTACTAGCATGTACATTGCTTATGTCATATATTTAGTTAGGTTGACTTGGTTTGGTTTGGGTTGGGTGTGGAGTTGATTTGTTTCGAGCTGTTGGCTTTGTAGATTGACAATTAGGCAAAAGATGTAGGGAACGATTTGGATTTGGGCAGTCAGCTGTAACAAATCATAACTTATGTGATTGGTTTGTGTGTGCAACTTTGTACAGGTGCTATGAAAAAAATCTGTGTACAGAATCTACTACTTCAGTACTCGTTTTTCCCCAATGTGGTGATGTGCATCCTGAGCTCTCATTTTGCGAAGAACAAAGCCAGAGTCCATATCTTGTGAAACAGCATATTTGTCTTCTGTGAGATGCCATTCTGTCTATCTGATTTTTTTATGCTTGCCTGGTGCGTATGATCTTATGGGGAATGCAATGTTTGGATCAATGACTCTGAATAAGCAGAGGATGGATGAAGATGTGGAATCTGAGATGAACATATTGCATCAGCTTTACTGTGGCTTTGGTAGCATGACACCACCCTTTCCTTTGTCTCAAAAAAAAAAGACACCACCCTTTCCTCCACATTCTAATTGATTCTTGAATTGATCATAAGGATCATTGGATCAATATTAATTAATTGTAAGGCACAATCACAGCGTCAAATTTGGAAGCACTTACAGCGAACATTTCTTTGTAACAATGGAAAGGAGAGGATTATGAAAGTACCTGGACGAAGAATTTATCTTTATCATCTCTCTGTGACTTTTGGTTCAAACGGTCGCAGGAAATCACCAGATAGTTGTGGTATCCAAGTCCTCGAATCACAACTGAGATCAATTATAAAATGTGCACATTATGTGATGAAGCCAGTAATGTTATTGCATGAAATGTTACAAAACTCTCACATGTACCACTTTTTTTTTTTTGATGACTTCTGTATCATACTAGGATCTTTGAAGTTCATATTTCAAATCAGAGTAGCTAGCTGCTGAGCCTCGAAAGGGATAGGCTGAAATGAATCAGGAGACTTCCCTTCAGTAGTATTTTCACATTGGTACAGTCGTACAGAGATGCAGTGTTGCTATTACATACAGCAGTTAACCATGCCATGTAAAAACTGAACCTTTCTTCTAATGTATAAAACCGAATTTTGCAGCCTCCCATAACTAGCAAAGCATGTAAGTTCTATTGCTGCTCGACAGCAGACCTGGATCTTGATTAAGACACACCAACCCAATACTAATGAGAAATCAGAGTGGATGGCTTGTTAAGCCTACAAAGTAGACCACACGTCTTAAAAATAATTTTCTCCAGATCCTAGCCAATGGACCAGCAAGTTACAAGCAAGTTTGCCTAACATAAAAAAGAAGTTACAAATCACTACACACAATTCTCTGATCCTCTCCAGGATGTGCTCTTTCTCTGTTAAATCAGACCTCAAGTTCTGGCTAGACCTATTTAACTGTTTCACACAGACAGCTATATCTTCCTTTTTTCCATCTGAAACCAGATACCTTCCTTTCAAATGCTACTATGAGCATCTGCATCACATGACATCGGCACTATTTGAAGGACATCTCTTTTGATTTTCTCAGTACTCCCAAAATAAAATGGTACACTGTAAAAGATCCACCTTCCTGCTACCTCAAGCAAGCATAACATTGCTGACCCCTACGACAGCAAGAGCTTGCATTCCAGCTGCAGTGCTTGGTGCCTGCTACTATCCAGCCCGGCTAAATCATATTCAAGCAATACACGGATATTCCTGCTGATCAACGAATCACATGTCAGTACATCGACAGCATCCAGATGGCAACACTTAAGCAGCAAGTCAGTGTAACTGTGAGATGTGGATCACTTCATCTGATTCTGCAAGTCTGATGGCAAACAACATAAGGCATTCTATTTGTAATTACTTCTTCAGATGAATAACATGAATGGCAAGGTACCAGTGTACCACTAGCAACACCCAAACTACTAAGAAAAATGTCCTGTGTTTAACTATTATAAATTTATCAATCATAAGAGACTAGATCACCTGCATTCTGATGTCAAATGTAATATGGACCAGGGAGCTGTAAACAATTCGGGTCTAAGAAACAAGTAGCATACCGTTATTCTACGCAGATTTTCGAAGTAGCCAGGCCAGCATGTAGCAGAGGGCAGCATCAATAGTTGACAATGCAACAATAAACACAGCTACCAGTACAAGAGTAAATGTAGCCGTCTTCATCTGCCAATGATGACGATTTGATTAAATCAAGAGGTAAGCAAAGTACTCTTTTTTTGATGCAGCAGCTTCAAAATATTTAAAATTAAGGCATAAAATGGTCACAATAAGGCGGCTAAGGCCCTGCACTTGAAGGGGAAAAAACTATAATCCAGCCGTGCCTATTGGACACAGTCATAGAATTACACATGATTGGACCAAATTCTAGTTCTACAAGTAACATTTGAATGTGAAGCTATGAAAAATGCATCTGGAGACATATTTATACTCATAAGGTTAGACTCCACATCGCCCATCTAGGATGCATATGAATATGGCATGCCAATAAATTCAAGATTCATTGAGAAAACTGGCATTGGTAAACGTAAGTCTGGTGAAAACTAGAATAAGGATGTCAGGATATGGACATAATTTAACACTTTATCGAGAAAGGAATCAGAACAAGGAAAACTTTAGCCCCTTATTGAAAATAAACACATATTGACACTTGTTGGCTGAAGGTAATTCAGGTTATCAATCAAATTTATCCACATCTCATGTATCATTTAGATGGCTGCCCCTTCGATTTTATAGAATAGTCATAAAAATGTGTACAGTGTACTTCAATCTCAATAACAACCTACAGCGCCACTCTGCCACTATACATTACCAATTAGTTCAGGTTGTTTAGCACATGCTCCTACACAACATATGCTGAAAATTCAACATATCCAGACAAGCTAAAATTGCACTTTCCTTGTCTTGACTGATACTAATCTAATATGGGCAGCAAATCACATTATATTTAGCAATGCATCATGGCAATTCTCTAAACATCTCAATAATGTCCAATTCAAGGGGCATACCGTGTGCTGAAAGGCCGGCCACTCCAGGTGCTTCAGTTGCCTCGGCTGCTCAGCTAAGAAAGCTACCAATCCCTTCAAACCCCTAACAATACAAAGTAACAAATTCAATTTCACATTCAGACAAACCAACAGGGGGGGCAGGGGCGCGGCGGGGATCCACACTTACACAGCAGCAAGGTCTATGACCACTGCCAGCCAAAGCGGCTCATCATCATCCAGCTGGTACTCATTGCTCCGGATTTCCTGACGTCCATGTTCTGACATAGCCGCACATGTTGGGAGGCTTGCAGGGGCAAATTGGTGAACAGCTGGCCGCGTCTTGGCGATGGCGACCTAAAAATGTAAAGCATGTAAACTGACGACATTTGGAAATAGCGCGTAATTGGTTCTAGAGCCATTGATGATACAGCACCTTGAGAAGTGGAGGACTCCTTCGGCAGTATAACGCAGCTGGGCTGCACCACGGGAGCGGAGACAGACCTGGGAACGAAAGAAATTAGGGGAAGAGTAACGAACCAGGCAACCAAGAAAGACGATCAATCAGGGGGAGTAAAGGTGCTAGGCTTGAGCAGTTGCAACCTGCGAGCGGAGCCAGCGCGCCTGCCGACAGAGCAGCCATTCTCCCGGGAACTCTGATGCCAGACCACAGAGACGAGACGCTACGGCGGAGACGGGATGCTCGCCGGCAGCGGAGAGGATAGGGATTCCGGGGGGGCCTCGGTGCGATGCGAGATCAGATACGCCGTCGTTGCGACACTGCCTCCGGCCGTGGCTCCGTCTCCCTGGCTGCCGTTTCGCCTTTCGACACGGATAACCAACGAAGCGAGCGGCGCCGCAGGGTCGGGCCTTCTCCGGCGGGCGGCGTTCTACGCGGCGCGGGCAAGCAGACGACGGTGGCCAGTGCTCTTCGTCCTCCCCGACGAGTTGGGCTGTGACAGGCAGACAGCGTACCGTGGGCCCGTGGCCCTGCTTAGAAGTTCGTTTCTCATGGAGGCCCGCTTGAAAGTTAGATCGCGATCCATTCTAGTACATTTCTTTTTGAAAATATGGAGCGTATGGTTTATATAAATATTTATATATTTTTTGGGAAATAAATTGCTATCTTCATTTCTCCTGATATCAAACAATTAATAAGTTCGTAAATGGATTGGACTTGTACGATCACAACGTCTCTATAAATCCTCGAAGAAAACTGACGAAAAAGTTTAAAGACTTCGTGTTTATGTGGCCGAATACTCTAATAGTCTCTTTCTTTGAGTTGTATCTTTTGGCCTTTTAGTTCAAAAGCTGGATTTTTGGTTTTTAGCTGTTTTTTCTATTGGATTTTTAATAAACTTTTAAGTTCTCATCATACCAAAAGTTAGAAAAACTACTCAAACACTTGCTTCATTTTTTAGTTCATTCCCTCAAAAGGCAACTTTTTAGTTTTTACAAAAGTCAACTCAACAGCTAGGTTGTTTATTTCAGCTTCCGGCCTTTTGGCCAGCAGAAGCCAGAAACAAACAAGCCCTAATAACAAGAGTCGGGTGGGTAGTCAATGAGCCTTTTAGCCCTCCAAGATCCTAGCCCTCCAAGATCCAATAAGTTTATAAGCTACCTCAAATTTATATTCATGTAAGTGTTGTGCAATAAAGATTTTTTTTCCAAATTCATAGGAAAATATTTAAAAAATATGGAATAAATTTGATTATATTCATAATATTATCTTCTACCAAATAAAAATGTTGATCTCATAATTTTTTTCCAAGATTTATAGTCAATTATTTTTGTATGCATGGTTTAATCCATATGGCTAATTCATGTTAAATCTAAAGCTAATGAAACCAATATTAATAGGTATATGGTGGCACAGTCGATTACTACGATATTATAAAATGTACTCCCTCCGTTCTAAATTGTAAATCGTTTTGGTTTTCTAGGTATATAGTCTTTCTACACACCCACACAAACAATATATATATATATATATATATATATATATATATATATATATATATATATATATGTTATGTTTAAATACATAATAAAAGTTATAGAAAAGCTAAAATGACTTGCAATTTGGAATGGACCGAGTACAACTCAAACAATTGATTACCAGTGCAGCTTCTGACTTTAGGGTATTTGCCAAAAGCTAGTCAATATAGTGCACACCTCAAATAATTGCACAGAACAATCCACTAATAAAAGAGATTGAATGTACTTGCTTTCAAAGTGTTGAGGTATATAACTAAATTGCCCATATTCTCTCATATTTTAATCTTTCGGGTCGAAAATGGTTGGCGCATGTCCAAAAGTCTCGAGTTTTAAATCATTGTTAGTGTAATTTTAAATGAAATTGTTATTACCTGTTTATATTTCACGTTAGAGACCGAAGAGAGTCTCCACGTGGTCATGGGAGTGTTGAACTCAATACAAAGTAACAAAGCTGGATCAAACGAGTCACGTCACAAAGAGCACAATGTACAATTTGGTGCGGTGAAAAAATAACAATTTTTCTAAGGCTTAACCCCAATATTGTGTCCGGTTAGAAAACTAGAAAAGCTCGATCAGGTTTCCGACTTCCCGACCGTCTAACGGCGCAGCGACGAAGGGGTTCCAGTGATTAGAGACGTGACCCCCGCCGCTGGCGACAGCACCAGCGCTTGATTTCTCATCGTCGAATGCCACCCATTCCGTTGTCGTCGTCACCACCGTAGTGGTCGTCGACGTTGGCCCCGCGTCCTTCACATCAGCCGGCGTCATCCCCTCTGCCTCCGCCTCCGGCTCCGCCTCGTCACTGTTATCGTCCTGGGTGTCACTCATGAGGATCCGCTCGAGGTCCCGGACGTCGTCGTCTTTCAAGCGAATGAATGCCGCCGGGAGCTTGCGGGCATTGGCCACGCCGAGCCCGCGGCACAGGTCGAAGTAGGACGAGAGCTGAGCGCTCTGCTCCGCCGCCCGCCAGAGCACCTTCAACCCTGCCGCCGTGGCCGCCTTCCGCATCGTCGGCTTCGCCGGCCCGCCTGGAACGCCGCTGACGAGGAACCGCGCAATGCCGGTACATATCTCGCTGTACACCTGGAAGATCTCGATGAGGGCGCAGTCCATGGCCTCGAGGACGAGCGGCACCTCCATGCCGTCGCCGTACGGGCGGATTTGCAGGAGCAGCTCGAGCAGGAACTGTTTCTTTGCTATCCGATCAAGACAGGCCGTTTGGGGATCATCCGAGCACTTATTGGCGTCGTCATCGCCGCTAGTGTCCTCCAGCGCGGCGAAGAGGGAGCGGTAGTCCAGAAACCGGAAGTACGCGCGCACAAAGGCGGAGAAGGCCAGGGACTTCGCTGCGGACGACGACGAGAACGAGGACCTGTCTCGGAAGTCAGCGAGCTCGAAGGGGACGCGCCCGGCGCGGGCCGCGCGGGGCGCGAGACCCGAGCGGAGGAGAATGCCGTGCGCGACCATGAGCGACTTGAGCGCCACGACCCAGCACCGCGTCCGCCGCGCGCGGCGCGCCAGCGCCCACATGACGGGGCGGAGGACCGAGGGCGACGAGCGCGCCCACGCGAACACCCGCGCAGCGCTGCGGTAGTCCATCCACCGGTCCTCGTGGCTCGTCGCGCGGATCACGGCCGCCTCCAGCTCCCGGTGGTGCCACGACGACGACGAACCCGCCCGGCGCGGGCGCAGGCGCGCCAGGAGCAGGCTCCTCCTGTCCTTGAGCGCCGCGGCGGCACGGCGCCACCACTGCCGCACGGACGACGTCATGGTGGTCCGTCAGACGCTCCGGCGCCGTCTTGCCGCCTCGCCTGCGTCGTCGTCGTCGCCGGCCTCGCGGCCGTGGCGCGGCGGGGTCAATGCGGTTCAGGATGGTGGTCTAGCGCCGGGTTTTGAGGGCATTGGTAGACATCTCGGCGTGGTAACCAGAGATGGAAGAGAGGCGTGCCATGAAGGGAACGTTTGCTTGGCCAAGAACGTGAACATAAAGGTAATTGTGAACGGCCGACAGGTCAAGCTTTCTAAATTTTGACAGATCTCGGCTTGCTAGCAGAAACAGGCAGACAGCCTGCTTGCTGGCTTCTGTGGTTTATGGCAAATCTTGGATGGCGATTTTTAATTTTTGACAATTGTCAGCGCACAACCACACAGGAGAAGGAGCGGCAAAAACGCAACTTCTCATTCTCTCCTCCAGCGCCCGCGACCCAGATCCAGACCCGTCGGCCCCTCCCTCCTGTCTCCGGCGAGCTCGCCGCAGCTGCAGGGAGTGGGGGCCCCTTCCTAGTACTTAGTAGCTAGTAGCTGTAGAGCAGTAGAGGTCACCGAAATGGGTGTCTGCCTGGCCGTCGCCGTCGCTATCGCCGTCGTCGTTGCTGCTGTGGCCTTCTTGGCATCTTCCTCGCCGTCGACGACATCTCCACCATGGTCAGTATAAATAAAATAAATCTGTTTTCCTGCTATGCGGATCTCCCCTCCTTTACCTCCGCTCCCACCTCCACTCATCATCACCAAGATCCGTTCTTCTCCGCTCCGCACCCTTCACTGCACGCCTCCACCTCTTGCAGCCACCAGTCCTGCCGCTCCCTGCTTCAGCCAGGCAGTTCCTCCTCTAGTGTTGGTTTGACAGCTCTGCCTCCACATGGGATCCTGGCTTGAGCCTTTTCTATCTCCGGTGACGGCTTCAACAACATCCTTTGGTCGCCAGCATGAATCCCCTTCGACGGCTCTACAGACCCACCCTTAACCGACGCTATGCGTGGTCAGTCCATCCGGGTGCAAGCGTCTTCGACGCCCCTGCGACCCCTCGCCGGCGGATTTGTCCTCCTCAACGCCTCCGACGCTGCTGCCTTCTTATCCAGTTGCAAGACTTTGTTGTAATTTGGTCTTGTGTCGACAGGATATCGTCGGCAATCCTCCGAGGGGTATCCCACGAAGGTAGATTGATCGGCAGAGGTGCGCGTAATCAAGAACAAGAAGGCAACATAGACACAAGAGTTAGACAGATTCGGGCAGTCAGCACGACGTAATACCATACTCCTGTGGCCTGCTGGATTATATTGGCTTTGTATGATATTACGTGTGATCAGATGCCTTAGGCTAGGCCTAGGATCTGTATGGGGATGTCGACTAGGGAACCCCTGCCCCTCCTTATATGCTCTGGAGGGGTAGGGTTATAAGGAAAGTATCATATTTGGTATTATATAATGTCTTATTGTAGCCTTGCGGTGCACGCCTTGATTTTATGGGCTGGACCACCTCTGATGGTGCGGCCCATGTCTTGTCTTATGGATACCGGGGGTCATATCCCCCACAGCTAGTCCCCAAGTGCCTTATATCCTTTGAGCAACGCTGTCTTCACAAGTCCGAGCACTTTGACGTGAAGCCGACCAGTTTAACTGGTAATCCGAGCAGTGGAAGTCGAAACCGACCAGTTTAACTGGTGACCTGGACGGTGAAAATCAAAGCCGACCAGTTTAACTGGTGACCTAGACGGTGAAAGTCAATGCCGACCAGTTTAACTGGTGATCTGGGCGGCGAAAGTCAATGCCGACCAATTTAACTGGTTAGGAGACCTCGGACTTAGCCAAGTAAGGTTTTCCAGAAGAATGTAAGGGGCTCAAGATGAAATTTGAAAATTTTTTCACT